ACGTAATTCATTACTGAATCAAGGCCGGGGTGCGCGTGGGGATCCCGGTGGTACTCAGCAGCAGAGGCACGGGCTCCACCTGGGTCTGGGTGGGGCCCGATCACCTGCATTTTCTAACAAACGCCCAGGTGATGCTGATGCTGCTTTCTGAGGACCACACTTCGAGAACCAGTGCTTTACTGCGGTACGGATACCAAGACAGGCCAGGCCTCTTCATTTTGGTCAGAAACTCATCCCCATCATCACTGTTCCCAATCCCATCCCCAACTGGGGCAGTTTTCCAATCTTCTTAAGTTTCTAAAAACTTTGTTTTTCAGAATTTTCATTTAAACACTTTCTAAATTATATTCAGTCTATTATCCTTCTCTCTGGGGGCTGTAACAGGGACGAGTTAAAATAACCAAGTGTCTAGAAATAGGGGATCAACTTGAACTTCCTAATGTTCACTAGCTGGGAACTAACTGGAACAAATCTACGACACGGGGCTAGCGCACTGCCTGTCTGCTGTGAGATCTGCGCCTGTCTCCTCCTGCTGGCTCCGTGTCCCCGGGCAGCGCGACGGGGAGGAGCCCCTGCCCTCTGCATCTGGGTAGGTCCCACAAATGGAAGGTGCTGGCGGAAGAGCAGAGGTGGAAGATGGGAGAAGCCGGGGTATTTCTCCCCTTCTCTCTCTCTTGCTGCTTGGACAGTATCCTGTCCATCCTGGCACTGGCCGTACCTCCCTCACAGCCCTCCACGGCTCCAGCTGCTGCCCCAGCATCCAGTTCTGTGCCTCCCCCTGCGGTGCTCCTGTCTTCCTGCCTTGACCACCTCTGTGTTGCCTCACCGGTTGGTTTCCCAGTTCTGCCAATATCTGCATAACCCGCTGACTCTAATTTCCCTCTGTTTGAAAGGACAGGTTCGTGTTTCTGAGCCCAATACAAACAGTATCCTGGTCAAAGGCTTTCTCGCTACGCTACTGAAGAATATACAGCAACAGTACTGGACTCTCAAAAACTGGTATTCTCGAACGCTCATGTTGTTGCTTCCTGCACACCTGACACAGGGCGGGCCGTGGGGGATGTCAGTGGTGGTTGGAGAGGGGACTTAAGCCCCTCCATCATCTCCATCAAGTTCTCTTCCTTTCTCACCACAAATCAGTCTGTTTCCTGTACAATGTAACTTCCTTACAAGTCTCCTATCTTCCCTTCCCAAGCTCTGAAGCCCTCCTGTATCTATATAGGGGTATTCTAAAACTGCCATTGGAGAAGGAATCGGGGCATAAGGACCTTCATGCTATTTTTAGTAATCTCACAAAAATACTCAACGTCATTGATGGGTGTGGATGATGGTGATTAATAAATAAGCTTACAGGGGTGCCTGGGTGGCTCAGTCGTTAAGCGTCTGCCTTCAGCTCAGGTCATGATCCCAGGGTCCTGGGATCGAGCCCCACATCGGGCTCCCTGCTCGGCAGGAAGCCTGCTTCTCCCTCTCCCGCTCCCCCTGCTTGTGTTCCTGCTCTCGCTGTGTCTCTCTCTGTCAAATAAATAAAATCTTTAAAAAAAATAAAAAATAAAAAAAAAATAAATAAGCTTACAGATGTTCTTTACGGCTGGTAAAATAAGGAAATTGTTCCCTATTATTAGTATAGGCACCAGGCTGTATTGACCCATTCCCCATCATCAATATAGTGTCAGGAAGCTGATTTGTAATATGACCCTAAAGGCTTCAGGGAGGCTCCAAGTCAACAGCTTAAGACAAATATCTAAAACTCTTAGCGGTGGTAATCCAGATATCCCCGTGCTTATCAAAGTGCTTTTGAAGTATATGTTGAGGAACTCAATGCAGATTATCACAGACAGCTCTGAGGAGAAAGTGACTGGGACCATATATAGATCTCAACTAATATCTACATAATCTCATTGAAAATAACAGATTTTCATCAATGATGTGGAATTAGATGTTTTTCCCAAATACTGCTCCTTGGGTAGAATCTTGTTGGCTGATGAGCCAATAGACCATGCCATTGAAAACAAAACCAAGCGTGCTATTCAGGAATAATCACCGTGGCACCAAGATTCAAACCCTACTGAAGATGGGTGGCGGGGGGTCGGGGGGTGGAGTTGGGGGGAGACCATGACCTTCTGAATGGCTTTTACTTTCCAAGAATTTGAACAAGTGCATTTTGGAGCATCTTCAGATAATAGAAGTATAGTTTATTCGAGAAGATTTTAAAAATCTGAAATGAAGATGATGTGTTTTCATTTAACACGTGCAGTTCTCTTTCTCATGTGCGATCAGGGGACCCCTTTCTGGCATACTCTTGACCACCATGGTAATGGTATCATTGGACAAAACTCATCTCGACTCAGTTTGCTGGGCCCATCTACTGACTTTGGTTCAAGCTGCATAGGAAGGTCAGCATCACCCTTCTTTAGTAGGGTATCTGCTTAGAAACATAAGAGATGCCCTTGGCATTAGCACATGGTTGCTTTCATTTTTCTGGCCACATTACCAGAAGGACCGGTCAAAGAACATGTATAAAATCATAAAGGGGGTCTAAGAGAAGAGGAAGAAGAACCTGAAAATCCAGTGTGCAGAAGACAGTTTAGTGATGCAATTATGGGAATGGGCTCTGGAGTCAAAATTTGGATTGGCCTGTTCAAAGCCGGGTGATCTCCAGTGAGCCATTTAACTTCTGAGTTTGCCAGCCATCAGATGGGGGAACACAGTAACACATAATCTCGCAGCGTCCCTATTAAGATCATGTGATTTAGGGGCACCGGGGTGGCTCAGCTGGCTAAGCGTCTGCCTTCAGCTCAGGTCATGACCTCAGGGTCGAGCCTCCGAGTCGGCCTCTCCCTCTCCTTCTGCCCCTCCCCCTGCTCATATTCTCTCTCTTGCACTCTAATAAATAAAATCTTAAAAAAAAAAAATCACATGATTGAAACATGATGATGGGCCTGGCAGAGTGTGTCTGGCAAGCAGGAGGTTCTTAAATGTTGACTGCTCTCATGTTCATGGTCACTGTCTTTGAGAAGATTCTTGAACTACGGGCTGCTATTCGTGTTTAGACACTGACTAGAATTTCTGAGTGATGTTCTGACCGAATCCTCCCTGGAACTGCATGGGAATCAGGGCGTAGCTCCAACACACAGTATGCCTCCTATTTGGGAAATAGCTTTATTTGGGAGTGGGGAGAAGTCTGGAAGAAAGGTGAAGCATTTAGAAAAAGCTAAGGTTTGGAAATGACAAGGAAGCCTTAGAGGAGGCGATGTGGACTGAAGTTTATAGGGTACGGCCGGCCGGTCTTGTACTTCTACAGATAATGACAGCTTTAAAAGCAAGCACAGCTCAAGGCTAGATGCTTGCAATCAACTAGCTCTGTGTAAGTCCCAGTATCTTAGAGTGCCCAAACAGCAAAGAATCTTAGAGGACATCCCACTCAGTCACCTCATTTTATAAATGTGCTCCGGACTCAAGGCTGGAAGCATGAACTGGTCAGAGGACAAGAAAAAACAGATGGTCCCATATTTTAGGTGACCTCTCCATATGCAGAACTGAATCACCAAGGTTTCTTTGAAGTATAGTAAAAACAGTTTATGCACTTGAAGAGACTGAACATGGTTCCAAGGCCTCAGTTAACCCTCAGCACCTAACTGGGGGCAGCACACTCTGCTAGTTCTTAGGACACAAAGAGACAGAAGATCTCTGCCATTTGTTAAAGGGCTCACCACCCATTCATGCAACATGTATTTTCTGAGCACCTATTATGTGCCAAGTCCTGAATTCAATCTCAGGGATCTGGAAAGAATTTTACAGTCTAGCAAAGGAAAAACGTATAAGTAACATACAAGCTTGGGGCGCCTGAGTGGCTCAGTCGGCTGAGCGCTCAGGTCATGATCTCAGGGTCCTGGGATCGAGCCCGCATCGGGCTCCCTGCTCGCTGGGGAGCCTGCTTCTCCCTCTCCCACTCCCCCTGCTTGTGTTCCTGCTCTCGTTATCTCCCTCTGTCAAATAAATAAAATCTTTAAAAAAAAAGCCATACAAGCAGATGACTAGTCTAGTGTTAACAGATTGAAATGCGTCACCCAGTGTTACATAAGGAGCACCTGAGTAATCTTGGGAAGATTAAGAAAGGCTTGTGGGCAAAGGTGAGCAGATAATGGTGCTGGTGGAGTTCTGCACCACATTCCAGGGGGAAAGCAACATGAAGGCAGGAATGCTGCCTCTTACACTGTCTCTCTTAGACCCACCATCTTCTCTCCATGTGCACGGCTACTGCTCTGCCCATAACATTATCCTCCTGTCACCTACATCCACCCGATACACTGGCCATACAGAAGTCACGTGGTCTTTTTAGGACATAGATCTTAATCATATCACTCTCCCTGCCCATAAAACTTTTCAAAGGTGCCCAATGCCTTTAGGATATTTAATAACATTTAATAATGATGATGATGATAAAAATATCAAACTTACAGAGAGCTTCCTAGGTACCTGGTGTTAATCTACTTGCTTTATGGGTCTAATTGATCCCCATTATTTGTGGATTCCATATTTGTTTTAATTCATCTAACCTGCTAAAATTTATTTGCAATCTCCAAATGAATACTCACTGTGCTTTTGCAGACACTTGTGGACATGGGCCGAGTGGCAAAACGTTTGAGCTGTCTGATGTGCAGGTTTCTAGCTAAGCTCAAACAAGGCGATGATGTTCCGCCATCTTGTTTCAGTTCCTCATAGTGTAAATCTTTCAGTGTGAAGACTTAGTTGGGTCATGCTCATCTCACATGTTCTAGAACTGTATCCCAAAACAACACGAGTAAAAAGGAAATAACGAAATTCTACTCAAACCTGAATGAAGCCAGAAAGAGATAGACTTCAGGGATTGCTCGGTTTACTGGCTTTAATGTTTCGGGCAATAAAAACTGTAGTGAGAGACCGAGTAATAGAAAATTTAATGGAAAATGGAAAGATTGCTTTTCCCAAAGCATAAAGAAGAAAAGAAAATTGCTTACCTGCTGTGGAGATTGTCCATTAGGTTTCTCTCCAAGTTTAACTTCTCTTCCTGCAACAATAAAAAAGTTGCAAATTGAGTCTCCAAGTTGCCTCCTGTTCCCAGCGAAGTTGCATCTTGACAGTGACAGTAGACAGCATGCCCTGAGGGGTTGCTAGGCAGCGATGTGGAGGAAAGGAGTTCCTGGCCCAGAAAGACAAGTGTCTTGAAACCTGCCAGGTCTGGGTCTGCAGCCCTAGCTGCTGACAACCAGAAATCAATGAACAATCCACCCAAATTTCAGGGTTTTCTTTTATAAAATAACGTTGTAGTGAAATTTAAATGGTGCAACATGTAAGCAGTCTATCACGTGCTGGGCATGCTGGAATTGTTCAATAATGGAAAACTACAGTTGTTATTTAATAAACATCACATGACAACACACCTCTGCTGGGTGAAGTTTCAACTAAACAGAAAAATAATTCAAGGAATTTGCTTCCTGGAGATATATCAAAGTTTCAATGACTACATGTACAATATTTTAATAAAATACATAATTTAGAAAATAGCTTTGCTTAGTGAAACTAGTAATATGTAAGATTTGAGAAAATAAAGCTAATCTTCAGATTTTTACCAGCTTCTCTGTGATTATTAGAATAATTCACTTATACATAGACACAACTTTTTCAAGAAATGCTTTTAGCCCATTCCCAAGTAAGTCACTTCTTGAGATCATTAATTCTGCCTCGAATTTGTCATGCAATATCAGAATGGTTATATACTTTTGGTAATTCATTTTCATTTTCTTGTCAGCAATGTGTTTTCACTCAGTATTATTTCTTAGTGTTTAATAATTTGTTAAAATGGAATACATTGCCCAAATGTCACATGATTCTATTATTCTTTTTTTTTAAAGATTTTATTTATTTTTTTTTGAGAGAGAGAGAACACAAACAGGGGGAGGGGCAGAGGAAGAGGCAGACTCCCCACTGAGCAGGGCACCGAGGTGGGGCTCGATCCTAGGACCCTGGGATCATGACCTGAGCCGAAGGCAGCCGCCTAACTGACTGAGCCACCCAGGCGCCCCATGATTCTATTATTCTTAGTTTTTACCAGAGTGTTCATAATTCAACTCAAATATCACTTGGTAAGGAAGACACGAGAAAGGCAAGCTCTCAGGGAGCTAGCCATCTGGTTGTGGAGGGCAAGGGGACAAGAGTTTACAAATCACTAAAATGTTATGCAGGGTGCGAATAATGCCATCAGAGGTACACACACAACAGGCCAGCAGGGTTGGATAGCTGGGGGCCAGCAGCGCTGAAGCAGGCGTTCACTGTGATTTGAGAGAAACCATGGTAAATGGAAACATAACGATGGGGAGATGAGGTGGGAGGGCCTTTCAGAGAGGGAAGATGACAGAGAGGAGACAGGAAGGAGTGGAGTATTATTTAGAGAACAAATCACTGAATTCCTACTGTGTGCCAGGCACGAGGAAACTGCAGTGAATGGGACACCATGTTGTGTGCCCTATAAAATGACAGCCCTATGTGCAAGAAGGGGGGTATTCTGGATTGCTTGGTGTTTAAAGAACTTGGAACTTGCCACGTGGTTGGTAGACGTGCCATGTGCTAAGTGCATCGTAGGAAGCCAATGGGATGTGGCGGTAGACTGTAGCGACAAAGGGGGAGGGCTAGAATCAGCATGATTTGGAAGGTGTGTAAGAAGCAGTTAGGTTCCTAAATCTCTTTCTGCCCGCCCAGCTTTTGGGGTGGTTATCTCATCTACTCTCTATCTCATCCAAAGAATGTAAGCTAGTTTGTTTGTTTATTTTTATTTAAAAAAAATTTTAAAAATATTTTATTTATTTGACAGAGAGAGAGAGAGCACAAGCAGGGGGGAGCAGAAGGCAGAAGGAGAGGGAGAAGCAGGCTCCTTGCTGAGCAGGGAGCCCGATGCGGGGCTTGACTCCAGGATCATGACCTGAGCCGAAGGCAGACGCCTAACTGACTGAGTCACGCAGGTGCCCCAAAGAATGTAAGTTTAGTGTCTGGAAAGGGTAAGGCAGGGCTTCTGGACTAGGAACATAGTAGAGAACACACAGCAGCGGGCAGGGGTGCTGAATCCAAAACTGTGTTAAGTGAATGTATGCACATGCAGCTCTGAGAGCCTCAGTCTGCTCCCCTCCTTGGCTCCGGGAATGTTGGCACTCATCCTCCAGCTGTCCTCCAGACATCTGAGGAAAGTCTCGAACAGGAAAGACAGACGGAAAGCACCCAACCAACCAACGAACCAACAAAAAACACTTAAAATGAAAAGTAGGGAGAAGAAAACTAAGGAAATTAAAACAAGACAACAGGGGCGCCTGGGTGGCTCAGTCGGTTAAGCGTCCGACTCTTGACTTTGGCTCAGGTCATGATCTCAAGGTGGTGAGATCGAGCCCCTTGACATCGGGCTCCGCACTCAGCAGGGAGTCTGCTTGAAATTCTCTCTCTCTCCCTTTTCCTGTACCACTCCCCCCCACCACCTCACTCTCTTTCTCTCTCTCAAATAAATAAATATTAAAAAAATAAGACAACAAAGATGAATATTTCAATAAAGAGTCTGGAAGAAAAAGATGAGGAAATCTCATATAAAGTAGCAAAACAGATAAAGACATAGAGAATCAAATAGAAAAGATGAAAGAAAATTAGAGGACCAGTCTAGGAGGTCCAACATCCAAGTAATAAGAGCTCCAAAAAGAAAGAACAAAAAAAAGGAGGGGAGGAATTCATCAACAAAGTAATTTGAGAAAACGTCACATAACTGAAGGAGTTTCTAGATGAAAGCACTCACCAAGTGCCCACCACAATCAATAAAAGCGGACTCAACACCAAGACACACCATTGTGATATTTCAGACCTGGAATCCTATACAGGCTTCTAAGAAAGAGAAAACCAGATCATATTTAAAGAGTTGGGGATCAGAATGGTTTTAGACTCCTCAAACACACACACACACACACACACACACACACACACACCCATTCTAAACCAGGCCAAATGACCAATTGAGAGGGTTTTCAGATATGAAAGGTCTCAAAAAATTTACCATTCACACTCTTTCCCCTTCTGGGAACAAAGCTATTGAAAAATGTAACAAACAAATGAAGGAGTAAACCAAGAGGGGAAGGCAAGGGATATAGGAAACAGGACATTATACGCAGGAGAGGGCCAAACGTGTCCCCAGGGATGATGGTGGCTGAGACCCCAGAATGCTAGCAGTGGACACAGCCACAAGGACAGCTTGTTCAGACTGGACAAGGCAACAAGGCTCCGGGCAGTTTTCTTTTAAGAGAGGAAATCAATAAAATCACTTAAGGATCCCCTTACTTACAATAAGAAAAGAATTTTGGGGGTTGAATCAGTGAAGTATGCAGAATACTCAACAAATGAAAAAATGAGCCATTTGTGACTCCAGAGAAAAAGCTACGTGGGAAGGGAATTATAATTCTCTACCTGGATTGGCTGTGAACAGCATTTACAGAGTTCTAACAGATACTAGATATTCACCAAACTAAAACTGGAGGAGGTACACAGTGGGGGTTGGGAACATGTCTTATGTGGGGTAGGGGATGGAAGCTGAATCAACTTCCATAATGGAAGATAATGAGAAAACCAGAAAAGAAAACCAAGACATGGTAAGAGAAGCATTCATTTAGAGAAACAGAGGCAAATAACCCAAATAATCAGCTAAAAAAGTAATTTTCAGAAAAAAGAGGGTTTTCCTTGGAAGAAAGAAAAATGTGCTCACAAGTGGGCAGTCTGGGCTTCATTTAAAGATGTGGGAATCAGTCTAGTCGTAAGAGCAAAATCTCAAGAAAGGGTAAACTCGTAGCAAGCAGTAAAAATGATGCTTTTGAGAAAGTCGAGTCATATCCATTTACTTAACTTATATTAATTATTCAACATCTAGTACTGTGGGCCAGGTCATGTGCTAGTAGATGATCACAGCAAACTGAGTAAGACATAAAGCTTATGAGGTGGGCAAAACATAAGTAATTATGACCCATTGATATGCTAGAGTTATAGGCAAAGTATTATGAAAATGTAGGGACCAGCAATCAAAGTTTCAGAATATTCTAGAACTGTGTGTCCAATATGGTAACTACTGGCCACATGTGCGAACTTACTTAAAATTAAATACATTAAATAAAAGTTCAACTCCTTGGTTACACCAGCCAGCGATGTTTCAAGTGCTCAAAAGCTACTATATTGGGCAATGTAGACATAAAACGTGTTCTTCATGGCAGAAAGTTCTGGATGGTGCTGATCTAGAGATTCTTAAATGGTGATTTTTACAGTGTTTTCAAGTACATTAAACCCCTGAAGGGATCACATTCCATGGGTCTATTAGTAAATAAAGCTTTGCAGAGCTTGATATTTAACCAGCTAAGTTATCTGAACATGGAAAGGAATTTTTACTCTGTTAGAAGTTTAGTTTTCAACTGGAGCCACTTGGGGAGCTAGTAAAGGGTATTTCTTACATGTCCTGATCCTGTTTGACCACACACAGATGTTGGGAGCAAATGCTGCTGGTGACCAGCCTGTGAGTCTTTGGGAAAACACTTTTGCTTGGCAGAAGGAGGGAAAAGTTCTGGAGAATGCAGAAACTCCCGAGTTCAAATTTTGGCACCACTACTTGTTAGATCGGTGGCCTCGAGCACATCTCTCAACCCCTCTGGGCCTTTGCTTTTTTAGATGCGAGGAGCATAACGAAAGCATGGATCACGATAAGCGGGTGGCAGAAGCACAAAGATGGCAGCCTCCATTCTTCTCACTGTTCTTAATCTCCAACAGGCAATAAGCAGGCTGCTGAGGAGGGGCCCCACATTGGAGGAGAGGGCTGGCTCTCCTCATTTCATCGCATCACTACCCTGTTTCCTGGCTTTTGTTAAAGGATCGATCACCGACCAGGAAGGAAGTACCTATAACAGGAAGGGGAATTTCTGTTCGAAGCAAGGCAAAGAGAAGGAGGAGGAAGGGCACTGACATTTATCAAAAGCCCAGGACATACCAGACCCAGTGGCATGTACTGTA